GACACGGTGAAGGCTGGCCCATTATCAGACCCTATAGCAAATGGCAGTCCAGATAGAGGGATCATTTCATCAAGTAAGAATTTAATTACCGTAGAGGCAGTTTTGTTTTGGGTGGCAAATGCCTCAGTCCACGAAGAAGATGTGTCTACCATCACCAGGAGATACTTATATCCTGCCCGATGTGGTTTTGCTTCTGTGAAGTCTATTTCCCACCTTGCTCCTGGGCTACATCCTCAGAGGCAATGGCCCAGTTCTGGCCTTGGACCCTGTCTGGTGTTTACCTGCACACAAGCTGTACATTGGGAGGCTGCTTGGTCAGGTAAGCCCTGGAGGTGAAGAATTTTAAAACGGACTTTTAGAAGCTGGGCTAACTTTGTTCCTCCCAGGTGGGTGCAAGAGTGGAGGCAACTGACTAAAGCTTTTCCGAGGCCTCGGGGCAGGAAGATTCTGGAATCTGGGAGGATACACCATCCATCTTGGTTTTTGCTGGCCAGAAGATCTGATGCTTACTTTTCTTCTTCAGAAGAGTATGTTTGTCTATGGCCATACCATCCTGAACTCGCCTAATCTCGTCTGATCTCGGAAGCTAAGCAGGGTCAGGCCTGGTTAGTACTTGGATGGCAGAAGAGTATGTTCAGTGGTCAGGTAGATCAGGCTGTGGGAAAGAGACGGCTGGAAGCAAAGTTAATGGGGTGACCAGGAGAGCAGCAGCTTTACGAGCTGTAAAATCCGCCTCTGGTTTCCCCGGGCAACAGCCCGTGTTCTCCTTCTGGTGCCCTTTGCAGTGAATCACAGCCACCTCTTGGGGGAGCCAGACAGCCTTGAGCAGGGCTAGAATTTCTTCTTTGTTTTTGATAGTTTTTCCAGCTGAAGTGAGTAGCCAATGCTCTCAATAAATGGCTCCAGGTACATATACTATGGCAAAAGTATATCAGCTGTCAGTGTAGATGTTAACACATTTGTCCTCACCCCATCAGAGGACTTCGCTTGGGTGACAGCAATTAATTCAGACTTCTGTGCAGAGGTACCGGCTGGCAGGGCTTGGGCCCACAGTATGTCCGTTTCTGTGGTGATGGCCACACTGGCTCTCCGCACTCCTTGCTCAAGGAAACTGCTACCATCTGTAAAGACGTTAGCATCTGCCTTTTCCAACGGAACGTCCTGGAGATCGGGTGGGCCAGTCTCCATAATCTCCAGCAGTTTGGCAGTCATGGACAGGCATGGTGAAGTCTGGATCAGGAAGTAGAGTAGCTGGATTTAAACACCTTGTGGGGGAGAAAGTTAAACGAGGCTGATCTAACAGTAAACTCTGGTACTGTAATATGCAGGCATTTGACATCCATTTACCAGAAATGCTGTGCAGCAGTGTTTCCAAGGTGTGTGGAGCCGTGAGGGTTAAATTCTGGCCCAGTGTTAGTTTATCAGCTTCCTGGACCAGGCTTGCAGTTGCCACCATGGCTCACAGACAACTCGGCCACCCGGAGGCCACAGGATCCAGTCTTTTAGACAGATAAGCCACTGGCTGTCGCCATGGCCCCAAGGTTTGAGTGAGTATCCCTTAAGCAACTCCCTGAGTTTCATGAACAAATCAGTGAAATGGTTTTGAAATATTCGAGAGGGCTAGAGCAGGGGCCTCAGTTAGTGCCTTCTTTAGGTTTTAAAAAGCCTGTTCTTCTGTGTCAGTCCAAACTAGCGGGCCATTCCCACCTCTAGCTGTGTCCAGGGCCTTGGTGATTTCTGTGAACTCCAGTATCCATAGGCGGCAGTATCCCACAGCCCCCAGGAATTCACATACTTGTTTTTTGGTGGTGGGAATGGGAACTCCCAGGATGGCTTCTTTTCAAGCACTGGTGAGTGCCCTTTTTGCCTTGTTTATTTTGTACCCCAGGTAGGAAACTTTGGAGAGGCAAAGCTGGGTCTTTTTGGCCAAGAACCAATATCCAAGCTCCTGCAGGAGATGAAGCAAGTCTCTAGTATGCTGTAGACAGCTGTCAGTAATTTCAGTAGCCAAGAACAGGTCATCTACATACTGGAATAGAGTGCATTAGGATGGCTGGCTTGGAAAGGTATAAGGTCTTGTTGAAGGTCTTCCCTAAAAAGAGTAGGGGAATTTTTAAACCCCTGGGGTAATCGAGCCCAAGTGAGCTGGGTGGTGTCACCTGAACTGGGATTTGTCCATTCAAAAGCAAAAATTGGCTGGCTTTTGGGAGCCAGAGGGATGCAAAGAAGGCATCTTTTAAGTCTAGGACAGTGTACACTGTCTGTTCTTGTGAGAGCAGACTGAGGAGAGTGTACAGATTAGGGATAGTTATACTTACTGCAACTCTCTGCTTCTTGACTTCCCACAGGTCTTGTACAGGCCAGTAGTCATTTGTTCTGGGTTTCTGGATTGGCAAGAGTCAGATATGCCAGGTGGACTGGCAAGGTGAAAGTATATTGGCCTGTAATCGTTGCTGAATGTGGAGACTGATTCCCTCTTGATCCTGCTGACTTACAGGATATTGCTTTACTCATACCAGGAGGGCAGTGGTCAGGAGTTCTACAACCACTGGCGGGTGGTGTTTTGCTAGCCCTGGGGGATTTGACTCTGCCCAGATTTGGGGGAAAAGAGTCTGCAGACCCTGTAGGAGAGGGTTAGTTTTACTCTTCAGTGGTTGTGAGGATGAAGTTAAGAGATACTCTTCTGACAAGGGGGTTGTTAGTAGGAGCTGTGTGGTAGGAGGTGGTGTGGCCCCCAGTGTAAGGTGGGTTTGACTTGCCAATAAAGAGATGGATACCTGTAGCTTATGGAGTAGGTCCTGTCCAAGGAGGGGGTAAGGGCACTCTGGCATTACAAGAAACGAGTGGGTTACTCTCTTTTGAACCAAATTCACTTCTCGTTTGTGGGTGACAGGATATTCCTGATAGTTCCCGTGGTGCCTTGCACGGCAACCCTTTTGTCAGAGACAGTACCCAAGGGTGCTTGCAGTACAGAGTGCTCCGCCACAGTGTCAATTAAGAAGCATACAGGCTGGCCCCCCACAGAAGCAGTAACCGTGGGCTCCCAGCAGCCAAGGGAAAGGGAGCCCCGGCCCCATCAGTCTTCTTCAGTCTCCTGTCTTTGGGAGTGTTAGAACCTTTTTTTAACTCTCTGGACATTCATTCTTCCAGTGTCCAGTTTTTTTTACAATAAGCACATTGATCCTGTTGTAGGGGAGTTCTCTCTTTTCTCCTGTGGGGTCCTGCGTTTTTGACTCAGGCTTTCCCCCAGTATAATTTTTTCTTGTAGGAGTATCTGCTTTAGATTCCTGGATTGCCGCAACTATGATTTTTGCCTCCCTCTTTGATGCCTTATGAGTTGCCTTTTCGGCTGTCAGAGCTGCCTATTTCCGTTTTTCTTGTTCTCAATTTTCATAAACCTTTTGAGCTATATCTAGGAGTTGAGAAATATTCATTCTGACAAATCCCTCAAGTTTTTGTAACTTTCCCTGAATATCTGGGGCTGCCTGGGCCACAAGTGCCAAATTAATAGCACGGGCATTTTCAGGAGCTGCTGGATCAAATGGCGTGTAAAGTCAATATGCCTCCTGGAGACACCCTAAAAATGCTACAGGCAACTCATCAGGCCCCTGGACAACTTCAGTTGTCTTGGACAAATTCGTGCACTTCCAAGCAGCTCCCTTAATACCCGCTAGGAAATACCAGTGAAACTTGTCCAAAGCTCTTTTCCCTCCTGATGTGTTTAGATCCCAATTAGGCCAAGTGGAGGGAAAAACCTCCTCCAGAAGGTCTCAGGCCTCCTCCTCCAGCCTGCCTGCCAAGGCAAGGAAAGCCTTTCTAGCCTCCCTACGAATGTGGTCCCTTTCCTCAGAGGTAAAGAGGGTCAAGAGAAGCCGCTGGCAATCATTCCAGGTGGGTTGGTAAGATTGAGGGTGGATGGGAGAAGGCAACTGTGTGAGTTTCTACTTTCTTAGGTGGCTCAGCCAGAAGTTGACAGTAGATAGTGCAGGAAGGAGTTCAGAGACTCAAGTAAGAAGGCAGGAGAAAGAGGCCTTTGGGAAGGCTGGGTGTGACAGGCAAGATAATTATTAGGCTGTACTAGGTCCAGAGTGCTAGCTGTGGAATTCTGCAGGGAAATTCAGAAGGGATCCAAGGAATCTGAAAGGCCACTTTGACTTCACCTAGCTGGGGCTTTAGAGAGGCCAAAGGAGGCAGCAGAGGATGACAAACCTTGAGCCTTGGTCATTCCATGACAGCTTCTCTCTACCAGGATGGAGGGCAGGGACTGTCCCTAAACAGTTTCTTCCTCGAGGGAGGCCATCTGGGAATAGTGCCTGAGAATCTGTTTAATCTTCAACAGCACCCTAACTGGCAAAACAGAGTCACAGCTTACTAGGCTGAGGCCACTTAGTCCAGCAAACTAATCTATGCCAAGAACAGCCAAGAATTGGGAGAGATTCCAAATTATAGCAGAGTTGCCAAAATAGATTTCACAGTGCCTAACAGTCACAGAAACTGGCATTGAAGCTCCAGCTACCACTACGGTAGCTAGTCTATGTCAGGTCTTTTGTGTTCAATTCATTTCTTCTTCACATCAACCCTATGAAGTATTGTTATGTCCATTTTACAGAAGAAACAGCACTGCAGGAAAATTAAATGACTTGTCCAAAGTCACCTAGGAATTAGGTCGCAGAGCAATGATTTGAACCCAGGTCTCTCTGGCTCTGAACTTGAGACCCCTTATGTATTGGTGATTGGGTTTGGGGTGCTCTGCCTTAAGACTTGACCACTGGGCAAATGCCCTACTATAGCAAATCTTATTCATATGAAAGTCCTATAGACCGGCCCCCTGACCCTATATCTTAAGAAACTTGGATATCCATGTCCTGCTTTCCCTTATCCAAGCCAACGATTTGTTATTGGTGGTGAATACATACAGGTCTGCAGCAACTTCAGTTCTTCATTCCTTAGAAGAAAAAATTTTACCAGGGCATTAAGGCAAAGGAAGAGACTGAGACAAGTTTTAGAGCAGAAGTGAAAGTTTATTAAAAAGCTTTAAAGCAGGAATGACAGGAAGTAATGTGCATTTGGAAGAGGGCCAACTGGGTGACTTGAGAGGTCAAGTGTGTGGTTTGACCTTTGACTTGGGGTCTTATACATTGGCATGTTTCCAGCTTTGTGTTAGTTCTTCCGTGATTCTTCCCTTGGGGTGGGCTGTCTTCATGGTCAGTGGCCTGCCAGCACTTGGCAGAGGCTGCATGTGCAGTGTGTTTACTAGAGATGTACACATGCTCACCTGAGGCATTCGTCCCTTACCATTCGAGTGTTCTTAGAAGGTCATATACCACCTAAACTCCACCATTTTGCCCCTTACTATGCATACTTATGCCCATTCTCTCAACTCCTGAGATCTTATCAGGAAGCTTCTGATCACATCTTCAGGCGTTTCCTACCTATTGTTTGACTGCCTTTTTCTGGTGTTGGCTGAGACCAGTTATTATTTTAGAGAGACAACAACTGTCTGACCATCATCTGATGGCCACCTGGCATTACTGGTGGTGGAGGGGGAGATGGTCTCTCCTTTTCTCTTCATGTCTGACTGGCTACCTACTATAACATTTACCACCTGCCAAGAGTCCAAGACCCTAATTCTTTGGTGAAAATGGATGAAGGTCAGTTTTCTGTAACTACTTCCTGCTGACAGTGGAGAAGAGGTGGTTGCTCTATTGTTGTTCTGTGGGTCTTGGCCTCTTGCTAGCTGTCAGGGTAGGGTGGCTCTATGGGTTGGTGAAAGTGATATTTAGTCAAGTCTGTGGGAGACAGGGGCAGGGTTTTGTCTCATGTCTCACTGACGGGCAGTCTAGGAGTCCCCTGTAGAAGGGTGACTCTTGAATATTGAGAGGATGGCAGCCGTCACTGAGGATTATTTGGAGCTTGATGGTCTGAAGGTGAGAGGAGAAAAATCTGGTTACTAGATTTAGAAGAATTTTAAAATGAAATAAGGGGGTGAGGACAGCTCCAAAAAATCTTGAGGCTGCCAATATGCCCTGGTAACTGATGGCTATAGTAATGCCTGCTAATTGGTATACAGTGTTGCTAGCTGATTCCAATATGTGCCCAGAATTACAATATTGGTCCAGATTTTTACATTACCCATCCGTCTTGTTTCTTCTGAGCCACAGTCAGAGATCACAAGAATCAACTGCAGATAAAAACTCAGAAAAAACTGATGAGATTAGAACCTAATAACAAGTGTACTATAGTACTTGAAACATAATTTTTCTCTCTCTAGCCCTCATTTTAATTAAAAACAAATTATGATAGGACAGACTTGTTTGCAAAATAAGCTTTAGTCTTATTATAATTGGTCTGATTATTTACATAAAGCACAATAAGAATAATTATTTGCCATATAGATTCCTTTTTAAATTGCTTTTGATAGAACTTTGCTCCATAAGAAATCTCAGATAAAACTTTTTAAAGCCTTAAGCCCAGCTATGGGTTTGTGCCATTAAATACCTGTATAAGTTGGGTAAATTCCTTTCCTCTTGAGGCCCTGAGATAACCTGGTGCTTCTGGGCCTGGCAGAAAATGACATTCTTTATTTATGACAGGTCAGGAATCCTGTATAGGTACTGTGTAGACAAGATATGAGGCCAGTCTTCCCAAGGGGCTTTCATTGGCTCTGTAAGTTAACTTTGATTTCTTAAAAGAAAGCATGCCATTCCGGTCCAGGCCTTGGTAAAATAACCAGTTTCTTCTATTGTGTCCTATTGCAAAAGAAAACAGATTTTTTTAACTTATGCAAATAACTATATTGCCATAAGTTAAGAATACTCACAAATAGTTTCCAAATTCTGTATTAATCAGGTAAGAGAAACAAATATGCTCCGAATTTTGTTTACAGGAGTACTCAATTGTTAAATGCTGCAAATAGATCAAAAGAAAAGTTTTCTTGACTTTGAAAAATAAAGGATTAGCAATGCTTTAAGTAAAAGGTTAAAAAAGATTACGTCAGTATTCCTCTTCTGCTTGATATTTATGAACATTTTAATTTTCCAAGAGAGTCTTAGAAGTTCTTTTCTCTCCATTTTAATGTAACAGCCTCGAAAGTTACCAGAAACCTGCATTCACCAGCACCTGTCAGAGTTTTATAGCTGATTATAAAACCACCTTTTAAAGAGGATCAAAATATGACAACAATTGTCTGTGGATGATGAAATGTCTTAGGGTTGCCACAAAGACACAATTAACAAGGAAATTTGTTACCTCAGTGGTAATAAGTTAACACAATTTAATATAAGAATTATATACAATAATTTATCATAAGAATTATTACTGATAACACATACTAAGTAATATCAGAATTATAGGAGTGTTGCATAATTTTGGAATACATATCAATAACACATTTATACAAATACCAAAAGAAAGCTGTATTTTACCTTTGAATTAGCATACTATTGATTTCAAACCCAGTTCTTAATAAAACCTTATAGAAAAATCTATTCACTCTTAATCAGTTTGACCATAAGGTAAGATTCTCATAAACCTTTTATAACCCTTTACAATTTTCTCTTAAAGAGCAGAACAGTGCTGTAAGAAAACCATGTATTTTTATTTCAATATTTAATTTCTGGATAAACTGAATCACTTTACTTTTAGCTAATATATTCACACAGACTTTCTTTTACAATATTAATCTTTCACAAACTTTCCACGACTTACTCAAACCTTCAGCTTTATCCTATCTAACTTAATACAATTCTTTAACCCCCTAAACTAGGCAAAATTCCACATTCCCATGCCTCTTATAATCTTTTACCAAAAGCACATTCTACTTTTCTTACATGTCTTGCATGTAGAACTGTTTGTCCAGTAGTCTCAAAGATATGTTACATGTTACACTCTTAACTCTTAGCAACTTTTGGTGAAAAACCCTGGTAAGTAAGTGATTCTAGTTATGTGCTAGGTTTGGAGTCGAGGACACTGGACAGAAGTGCAGATAAATTCTGACGTTTTCCAGCATAGCTATCAGGCATGGCCAGCTCTGTATGTCCCCAGGCCTTACCTAGCTTTAATGGCTTTAAAACAGACAAGTTGTACAGTTAAGAGTCATAGCAGTTATTTTTTACCTTAAAGCATTTAGTAAGCCTAATAAACTTTAAATTGTACAACATTTCTTTCATAAAGTTCCTTTCATGAATCTTTTTACAACTTACACAACGTATGCTTGCACTTTCTGTCTTACCCTAAACATTTCTCTTTGTAAACAACCAGTCATTTTATATTAGGACAAGAATTTACCTCACAAGATGCTTTCTCATATAAAATCTCTTTAATGTTTGTTACCAAAAATATCTGTCCCTTTATTAACTTTGAATTAGAAAAAAGTAATTTTCCTTCTGTTAGGTTTGTACTGCATGTTTTTATGAGAGTTCTGTGAAGGGGGAGCAGATAAGGAGGTTATCTATATATGGTATGTTAAAACTCGCACTCTGAATGAAGATATCACCCCTCAACAGGCTTTGTATGAGCAACATGGCTGTTTATTAACCAGGGTGCAGGCGGGCTGAGGCCGAAAATAGCATCAGCAGAGGGAGGTGGGATAGGAGTTGGTTTTATAGGTTGTGGGGAAGGCAGTAGAAAGTTACAAAAGTTAAGTTTAGGGCGGTTTTTCTTGCAAGCTGGGAGGGGAGTCATAGGGTGTGGAGTCACAAGGTTGGCCAAGCTGGGAAGGGGTCATGGGGTGAACATAGGGTTGGCCAAGGTCAGTTACAAAGTCCAATGGCCTTGTCAATTGAGGCTGGAATAAGAAACAATAGAGAATGTCTCAGAGTTCAGTAGGTGCTGCAGGGGTTGATCATTTCTTCCTCTTTTTATGATCTTACAGCTATTTCAGGTTTTCTAATTCTGGAAGGCCCTCCAGAGGTGTTCTTGTGGTTCACGGGGTCGCCATGCTGTCCATGGGGTGGTCAGACCTTACACTGTAGAAGTTATACCCCCTCAAGAGATCGCTCAGATTTTTACTAGGGCTTGTCTGAATAAGGGTGGGATATTTCTAAACCACTGAGGTACGACTGTTTAGGTGTTAAAGATTTAGGTGGCTGTCTCAGGAGAAATGGCTATTAGAAAAATGAATTCAGATGCTGAGTAAATACTAAGCAGGTACACATCTTGAAAAGTATATTTTTGCCCCAAAGAGGTATAGGGTATTTAGATATTACCAGGGACTGGAGGGAGAATGGTAATTGGTTCCTTATGTAATACAAAGAAGTGTGAAGTTTTTTTGGAGGGAGGGGTTGCCATTTGCTTCCATTGTCCAACAGGATTTGGAGAAGAGTTACTCAGAGATTAGCAGAGTGTAGGCAACTCTGGAAACTAAAAGGGTAATTTATAATTCTCCTTGTCACCTCCAGTGTTGCCCTTGGCTTTGTCCTGTTGATGATTCGGAACTCAGCTGAGCAGAGAGCCCCTTCAGCTCAAGGCCATCAGGGGTTGGCATTCTATCCTGGGGGCCTTTCAGCCCTCAGAGAAGCCCCGTTTCCAGTGGCTGAGCATGTGGCAGAGGGAGCAAACCATGGAGGACTTTCTCCTGTTTGTCCCATTGGGGCAGATTGCTTTCCAGTGGCCGGGCTTCCCATACCAATGGCAGTTACCTGAAGGAGTGTCCTTAGGTCAACCTGGAGGGGAACGGTGGGTTTACAGAGCAGCCAATGGTTGATCCTGCTTTGGTCCCTGTGTTTCTCTTTCTCCTTAGCCCTGTCTTCCTTCTTCTGATATCAATAATAAAAGACGGAGGAGACTAATTTGAGGATTTCCTGCATAAGAGTACTGGATTCTAAGGCTGACTTCCATAATTTTCTCCCAGTTCATTTTTAGGCCAAACAGTACTACAAAGAAAATCTAATGAAGCAGCATCATTGTCTGGGGTAAAGCCAAGGTTCATTGTCTCACATCAAGAAAACTGAGGACTCAAACTCACAGAAGTGAGTTTAAGAACAGAGGTTTAATAGGCAAGAGAAAAGTGAAAAGCTCTCTCTCCTGCAGAGAAGGAGGGGCTCTGGAGTGAATCTTCCAGTTTCATGGAGAAATGCACGGGGGTTTTATAGATGAGCTCGAGGAAGTGATTTATATAGCGTGCAAAGAGGCTGGCCATCCCACCCTAATCTTTTATTATACAGATGGGGTCTCTACCTGGATGTTGCCATGTTGCCTGTTTTGTTGGTGGTGGTGGTGGTGGTTATTTTTTGCTGCACACATGGTGACAAAGAAAAGGGAAGAGGGAAACCTCCATGTTGAACATACCCGGCCCCCAGGTAGCCTTTTCCCATTGGTACAACTGCTGGCATTTACCCGTGCAAGCTTCCACTTATCTATGTCTGCAGCTCGATTTTTCAGGCTGCTCTTTGCTAGAAAAGAAATGATTTTGTTGCTCCTTTTTATTAAAAGGGAATCCTTACTGAGGACTCTCTTATCCTCACTAACCACCTAAACAATTTCTTTTTAGCTCCTGTATCACTAGTTTTGATTTTAAGGCATGAGGGAATCAAACTTTTCCCAGTTCTTGAGGATTCATCTGAGGGGCACGTCCTGTAGTATGTAGACATGATCACCCATCTGCGAAGAGAGAATAGAGGAGAAAAGGAAAAAGAAAAAAGGAAAAAGAAGGCATCCCTTCTTACTTTCCTGTTACCCTGTATGGGACATTCCCCATTCATCCTTAGGGTTCTGGAATAAACCGGTCTTACCATGTACCCTTAAACTTGTTACCATCTCATTACAATTACCTACTTGAGAACAAAGTAGATACTGAACAGGCCCCCCACCCATTCATCCTTGGGGTTTTGGAATAAACTGGTCTTCCTCTGTGCCACTAACCTTGCCTTCATCTCTTTTCTAATAGTAATCTGATAGCCTGGGACCAACCTTCATCTCTGTCCTCTGGGTCTCTTGTACCTGTGGCCTTGGATTGGCCTACATCCTAGTTTCCATGACCTTACAGTGACTCTCATGTGGTGCATTCTGGCAACAAAATGATTATCTCTTTTCTCAGATTTCCATTTCTCATGTTTTTTAAGTAGATGAGACGCCTGTTTTTCAGCTAACTGCTACAAGGGGGCTGGACTTTCCTCCCTTTGAATAGCATCTTGAAGGTCTTGACGAATATTGAAAAGGGTGTGGAAGTTATTAGAGAAATGGAGGCTACAGGAGGCAGTGGGAGGACGCAAGAGGAATACTTATGGAACGCTTTCATACGCTCGCAAACATGGCAGCCCTGGCATTCCAGAGGGTGATGTTTGTTTGTCCTCTTGACATAAAGGAGGAACCTCTGGAGGACTTGGGGCTTAGGGGTAAGAACTCATAAATGGTGAGGAAGAATTTCTCCTCCTCCCAAAGCAGTGCTAACTCAAAAAGGAGGAAGTAGATGGGGTCCTTAAAGGGCCACAGAGTGAGGCTCTATACAAGCTGCTTGAAAAGCCACTGGCAAACTTGGCTATGGGGCGTAACAGGGGTGAAAAGGATATGGTAAGTCATAAGGAGTTGGCAGAGCCTGGGTTCCAACTAGTGCCTATCCCAGCAATGAGCCAGTAGCAGAGAAAGAAGACACATGGCATGTGAAGTGAAAACAGAGAAGAGGCAGACTTACCCTGAGGTGGATGGTTCAGTGTGTGTGTGTAAGGTCATCTCAGGATACACACAGAGAAAACAGGAAAATAGGTGGGTTTCTGGAAAACAGCTGATTTTGGTTGAAAAAGCAGAGGAAACTCCAGACGTTGCACAGTGTTAGCCTTCAGCCCAACCACTCTCACAAGCCTCCCGTCCAGGAGGGTCAATCATGTCTCAGGTCTACTTGGTGTAGACCCCAAGGTCCTTCCCACTGCTGTGAACCACCTGTCAGGGTGAAAGGAGAGATCAGCCAAGGGAAGTAGAGCCACTGTGGCCGAGAGGAATCATTCTGCGGATTGATTAGTAAGCAGGAGAGCAAAAGAAAGAAGAAAACAGCATACAGGGGTTAAATAGTTCCAGTGGAAGAAGACAAGGTGCAGAGTTGTCTTACTACTGGGGAAATGTATCCAAGGCACACGACACCAAAGTATGTTAGCAGCAGCAAGTCCCCAGGCTTGAGCCCACTCGCCCAACTCCTGAGATCTTACCGGGAAGCTGCTCACCACTAGCTTCGGGTTTTTCCTATCTATTGAGAAACTGCCTTTCCCTGGAGCTGGCAGCAACCAATTATTATTTTAGAGAGACAGCTAACAACTGCCTGACCATCACCCAATGCTCACCTGACATTCCTAGTTGGGGTGCAGAGGGGCTTGCCTTCCCTGCTCATGTCTGACCACCTACCTACTGTAATACATTGACTACAATTCTCTACTAATCTCCCCACCCAGTCCAGGTCCTATCTCCTACTTTTTGGTTTTTAATTCCATTTTAAGTCCTACCTCTCTTTCAGAATATGCCAACAGATCTCAATTTCCCCAGCTCACCCTTGGGTAAACACTAACTTGGGTTTGAACACATCCGGCTGCCTTGGGTTGCAACCCCCTAGTCTAACTCTGGCCCCTGGGCAATAAGCTCTAGTGTTACTCATTGCCAGGCACCTCCTGCCCCTCCTCTATAGAAAGTTCAGTCAATACATGCTACACATGTAGCCAGCCTTTCCTTCCTGCCAACCTCTGACCTTGGGCTGTCCCTTTCATTCTGGTTTGAATGGGCATTTCCTGCTGTTGACTGGGTTCTTGCTTCCAGCCCATTCTCCCAAGTCCTATTCTCCTGCAGATCTAATTGTAGCCACCACACCCTCTCTGTTGGGTACCCGACCTTGGCTCTTCCGAATTTTCAGTTTCAATGATAACATGAGGAGCTATAAAAGGAAAACTCCTCGGGCCTTCACTCAGCGTCTATTTTTCTCTATTTTTATAAACTTTTATTTTTTTTCTTAAACTATAACATGCCTAGAGAAAAGTGCATACATCAAAAATGCTCAGTGAATCACCGAAAGTGGTACATCCTCTGCCTATACCTCTCAGGTCAAGACATGGAGCCTTAGTGATACTGTTTGTCCCTCTGTGCTCCATCTCCACTATTATCTTTGTCTTCCTCCCCAAGGTAGCCCCTATTCTGATTTCTAACCCATGGGTTGGTTTTTGTCTGTTTTTGAATTGTGTATAAATGGAAGCACACTGTGTGCATTCTTTTGTTAAAAACATTTTAAAGTATTTGTCATTATTGTGGTAAAATATACATACCACAAAATTTGCCATCTGAATCATTTTTAGGTGCACACTTCTGTGGTATTAAATACATTTACAATGTTGTACAACCGTCAGCACCATCCACCCCCATAATTCTTTTCATCTTATAAAACTGAAAATGTGTGCCCATCAAACAACTCCCCATTTTCCCCATCCTCAGCCCCTTGCAATCACCATTCTATTAATACTTTCTGTCTCTATAATTTTGACTACCCTACTTTATATAAGTGAAATCATATGTATTTGTCTTTTTGTAAATGGTCTATTTTACTTAGCACAATGTCCTCAAGATTCATCAATGTTGTAGTATTTATTAGAATTTCCTTTCTCTTTAAGACTGAACAAAATACCACTGTATGTGTATACCACATTTTGCTTATCTGTTCATCTGGCAGTGGACAGTTGGGTTGCTTATGCATTTTAGTTATTGTGAAGAATGCTGCTATGGACATGGATGTACAAATATCTCTTCAAGATCTTGTTTTCAGTTCTTTTGGGTATATACCCAGAAGTGTCATTGCTGCATCATATAGTAATTCTATTTTTAATTTTTTGAGAAATAAACTTTCATATGGCTGGATATATAGCTCATGCCTGTAATCTCATCACTTTGGGAGGCCAAGGTTGGGGGACCACTAGAGCCCAGGAGTTTGAGATCAGCCTAGGCAACATTGTGAGACCCAGTCCCTACAAAAAAAAATTTAAAAATTAACTGAGCAGATTGGTGTGCACCTGTAGTCCTAGCTACGTGGAAGGCTAAGGCAGGAGGATTCCTTGAGCCCAGGAGGTCGAGGCTGTACTCCAGCTTAGGTGACAGAATGACACACTGTCTAAAAAATAATAATAATAACCAAAAACCTTTATGTTTTTAGCCAAATGATTTTTGATAAGGTTGCCAAAACCATTCAATGGGAAAAGGACAGTCTTTTCAACAAATTATGCTGAAGCTGGGTGCAGTGGTTCATGCCTGTAATCCCAGCATTTTGGGAGGCTAAAGCAGGAGGATCACTTAAAGCCAAGAATTTGAGACCAGCCTGGGCAACAAAACAAGGCCCCATCTCTACAAAAAATAAAACCAAAACTAAACCAGAAAAACAAACAGTGCTTAGAAAACTGGATATCCACATACAAAAGAATGAAACTAGACCACATCATATAAAAAAATGAACTCAAAATAGATCAGAGTTAAATGTAAGACCTAAAAGTATGGAAACTCTTAAAACATAGGGCGAAACTTCATAACGCTGGATTTGGCACTGATTTTTTGGATATAACACCAAAGGTACAGGCAAGAAAAGAAAAAAATTAGACTTCATGAACACTGAAAAAGAAATGTGTATCAAAAGATACTATTGGTCAGTCCCAGTGTCTCATGCCTGTAATCCCAGCACTTTAGGAGGCCAAGGTAGGTGGATCACTTGAGGTCAGGAGTTCAAGACAAGCCTAACAACATGACCAGGCTGTCTCTACTGAAAATACAAAAATTATCCAGGTGTGGTGGCACTTATCTCTAATCCCAGCTACCCAAGAGGCTGAGGTAGGAGGATTGCTTGAACCTGGGAGGCAGAGGCTACAGTGAACTGAGATCATGCCACTACACTCCAGCCTGGGTGACAGAGTAAGACCCTGACTCAAAATTAAAAAAAAAAAAAAAAAAGATACTATCAACAGAGTAAAAAGGCAACCAACAGAATGGGTGAAAACATTTGTAAATCAAATATCTGACAAGGGATTGATACTCAGAATATATACAGAACCTCCATAATTCAACAATAAAAAAACTTAATCTGATTAAAAATGGGCAAGTGACTTAAACAGACATTTCTCCAAAGAAGATATACTAATGACCAATAAGCGTATGAAAAGATGCTCAACATCACTAATCATTAGAGAAATGCAAATCAAAACCACAACGAGATACCACATCACATTCACGAGAAATGTAAACCATTTTGCCAAAGTTAAGTACCTGCCTGGAAGAAAAAAAGGACGCCACCCCAGAAACAGTCCGTGGTCTGTGCCTTTCTTCAGAGGTGAATTTGAGGGTTTCAATATTTGAAGGGAAAAAGTGGGCTGGAGGGGAAAGAGGAAGGGTATGGTAACGCACATGTTTTGAGAGGAAAGGAGCAGGTAGGGGAAGAGTCAATTATCTATTCATGTCTCATGCTCAGAAAATTGGCACTTTACATAAGATAAGGAGGTGGACATACAGTAGCTATCTGTGGAGATGTTTAACCTTTTATGTGTAGCACTCTGCTTAGGGACAAAAGAAAAGGCAGCTTATTGCATGACTCAGCTTTCAGCTTAATTTTTTCCTGTTGGCAGAAGGAATTGAGGTACCAAGTTTTTATTTTCCTTTCACAGCTACTATCTAAAAAAAAAAACCCCAGAAAATAACAGATGTTGGCAAAGATGTGGAGAAACTGAAACCCTTGTACTGTTGTTGGGAATATGAAATAGCACAGCTGTCAAAAACTATATATATTCTTGTTTCCAGTTTCTTTTACCCAGATTGTGTTCATGAGTATAGTTTCATGTAGCTGTAATTAGTTCATTTTCATCACTGTATTGTATTCCATTGCATGAATATGCCTTAATTTATTTACCTATCCTGTAAATTATTTTCACTGTGGGGAATAGATAGAGTAATAGAGTGATAGAGAGATAGATGATACAAATACACACGCAAAATACATAAACACACAAAAATTGGCAGGCCAAGTGGTCAGAATGAGCCCAGTGGGCCCAAGCAAAACTCAGGCAAAGGCACCACTGGCCACAGAGATTTCCAGCCAGAAAAGCGACACCCCACGGATCCCGTAATAATGTTTTACTTATTTCAGACTCAGCTTTATCTAACTACCTTGATGCTTTTAATGGCTTTCTTCTACCTGTTGGTGTGGTCACAGATGTCTTGTAAAAGGCCTCGTTAGCTCACACTTCAGTGTCTCTGTTACGCTTACCAGCTGCTATCTCCCCTACATCTGGCTCAAGTGCTCTTGCTGTAGTATAGAAGGAGGAGGAGCAATAACGATAATAATAGTAATAATAGGCTGGGCACGATAGCTCATGCCTGTAATCCCAGCACTCTGAGAGGCAGAGGATCCACTTTGGATCACCCGAGGTCAGGAGTTCGAGACCTGCCTGCCCAACATGGCAAAACTCCGTCTCTACTAAAAATACAAAAAATCACAGTGCACACCTGTGATCCCAGCTAATGGGGAGGCTGAGGCAGGAGAATTGTTTGAACCTGGGAGGCGGAGTTTGCAGTGAGGCAAGATCGCGCAATTGCACTCCAGCCTGGGCAGCAGAGAGACACTTTGTCTCAAAAATAAGATAGTAATAATAATAGCGAACACTTAAAGAAGTGCTTTCTATTTGCTGGGTACTGTGCTTTTTTCCTTGGATGAATTTATTCTGTCTTCCTATTTATGAGTCAGAGACTATCATCCCCATTTTGTAGAAAACACCAGAAATTGAAAAGGTTACAGAATTTGCTCAAGGAAATAGATAGATAGTAGGCTGCAGTATCAGGTCAGAAGACCTTTACAATTTGTAAAGGCCCTGTGTTACTTGTTCCAAGCAGAGGTGTATAAAGCAAAAACTGTCTTTCTCTTGCTCCGTCTTTTCAGT